TTCAATAATATTCAAAATATTAGTGAGAGCAATGAGGCAAGGAAAAGAATAAAAGGGACAGGCATACAAAAAGGCAAGTTATTATCTGCAGAGGACATGGTTCTCTACACAAAAGACCCAAAATATTCCACCAACAAGACTCCTGGAATTAATAACCAATTAAGCAATGTAGCAGGATACAAAATCAACACACAAAAATCAATACTAATAGTGACTCATAGAAAAAAATTAAGAAAAAAAACACCTTTCACAATAGCATCAAGAAAACTTAAATACTCAGGAATTACTTTAATAGAGGACGCTAAAGAACTCTACAGTAAAAGTGGAGATTAAAGAGGTTATCAAAATATGGAAAAATCATGAAAGGAAAAACCAATACAGTTAAAATGGCCACACTTCCAAAACTGACAGTTTTAACACAATACTAATCAAATACCAACAACATTCTTCACAGCACTAGGGAAAACTATCCTAAAATTAATATAAAATCAGAAGAGACTCAAAATAGCAAAAGCAATCCTGTGAAACAAGGGGAAAGAGTGAAGGTATCACAATCCCACTGGTGAAGTTACATTACAAAGCTTCAGTGATAAAAACAGAATAGTACTGAGTATGGCACAAAAAGATAGCAGGTACTGTAGATGAGAACACAGGAGGCAGAAACAACCCCAAGTACATTCAATTATTTGATCTCTGACAAAAGGCCCAGAAATATACACTTGAAAAAAGGTAGCCTTTTTAACAAGAGGTACTAGGAAAACTGGCTATCCACATGCAGAGATTGAATCTAGATTCTAGAACCCTAGCTCTCCATGTATTAAACTACAATCAAAACTGATCAAAGATCCTAAATATTAAAATAGTGTACTAGAAGATAAAACAGGTAAAACTCTTAAAGTCATAGACATAAGCAAGGATTTTCTCAAAGAAACCCCAAATGCACAAGAAATAGTACAAAGAATCAACAAATGGGGCCATATCAAATTGAAGTTTCCACACAGCAAGAGAACCAACAGAAGAAACAAACTACAGAATGGGAAAAAATTTTGCCAGATATTCCTCAAAGGACTAATATTTAGAATATATTTTTAAAAACTCAAAAATATTAAAAACCCTAAAAAATAAAAGACCCATCAAAAAATGGGTCAGACACTTCTCAGAAGATGATATACAAATGATCAATAACTACATGAAGGAAAGTTCAACACCACTGGTCATTACAGAAATGCAATTTAAAAACAATGAGATTTCGTCTTACTCCTGAAAGAATGGCTATCAGAAATCAAACAGCAAATGCTGATGAGGCTGCACTGGTGGTGGGAATGTAAACTAGTACGATCATTATGGAAATGAGCATGGAGAGTCCTCAAAACTACAACCAGTTAAACTCCCTTTGGCCCAGAATTTCCCATTCTCAGTATCTTCCAGCAAGAGTTAAAGATATATTACAGTGATATGTGCATATCCATGTTTACAGCAGCACAATTCATAATACCTTTATCTTGGAAGCATCCTTATATGTCCATCAACAAATGAATGGATTAAAAACAGTGGTATTTACAAACAATTCATACTTCCCCATAAAGAGGCATAGATCTGAGCCATTTGTAGGAAACAGATGCACTTCAAGACCATAGTGCTTGCTAAGTGAAATGAATGAGACTCACAAGCTTAAATAGTGTGTGCTTTCTCTTTTATGAGAATGCTATGGTTTGTGTTTAAATGTCCTTCCAAAGCCTCATGCAGTTCAAAAAGGCTGGTTCACTGTCTTGCGCTGTGACTGGCAATATGAGTGCTGCATCCACCCAGGGGCAGGTAGCCAGCATATAGTATAAGGGAGGGAAGGAAGTGTGCTTTGCTCCTTTTACCCTTTCACTCTGGTCACTCAAGAATAGTTCCCCTTAGCCACACCATCCTGCCTTGGAGCCAGCTGAGTATGAATTGAAACCTTTGCAAACTGTAAGCTAAATACACCTTTCCTTCCTTCATGTTGGGTGCCAGACATCTTGTCCCAGCAACAAGAGAAAAGTCACCAAGACAGACATGTTATCCACATGTACCAACTCCCCACAAGAAATGTAATTAGTATGTACTATTAAAAATTTTTAAAGAAACCTAAACATGTACTATTAAATATTTTTAGAAGTTATCAAAAAATCAAAAACAAAACTTCTAGAAGAAAACACAGAGAATCTTTGTGGTCTCTGGTTAGGTGTCCTGCAAATATGACATAAAAAGCCTATGACTCGTAAAAGAATTGGGGTTTTCTTTCCCCCTTTTGAGATGCTGGAAATCGAACCCACAGTCTCACATGCAAAGCAAATGTCAAAGAAGTTTCTGTACAGAAACTATCAAAACTTAAAAGTCCATGCTCTGCAAGTGAAAGGACTAAAAAAGACTGGGAAATCTTTTCAAATCATATTATCTAATAAGGCATTTGCCTCCATTAAAGAAAGAATTGTCAACTATCAACAATTTGACAGTTCCTCAAAAGTTAGTGTTACCACATGATCCATTCAATCCAGTAAGTATTTATCAAAGAGAATTTAAGATGTGTACATTAAAAAAACTTGTACATAAATGTCCACAGTGGCATTATTTGTGAAAAGCGTAAATGACCTAAGTGCACACCAACTGATGAGTAAATACACAAAATGTGGTATATAAAATCCTAAAAATACAATTTAAATTAAGGAAACCAGAAACAAAAGACTGCTGTATGATTCCACTTAAATGTCTAAAATATACAAATCTATGAAAGAAAAAAAAAGTAAATTAGGGGCTACCAGGGATAGGAATAGGAAAGACTGTTAAAGGGTATGAGGTTTTTTTAGGTATCTAAATGTTGCTATTAGTAGTGATTGGTAAACAATTTTATTACCATAGTTTAAAAAAAACACTAAATTGCACTTTTTGGGGGGAGGGGTGGGTACCAGGAATTGAATGAACTCAGGACCTTACACCTGCGAGGCAGGTGCTTTGTCTCTGATCTATATCCCAGGCCCATGAATTGCACATTTTAAATGGAAACTTGCTGGGCCTGGTGGCACTCGATTGTAATCACAGCAACTTGGCAGGTTGAGATAGGAGGATTACAAGTTTGAGGCCAGCCTGGACAATTTAGCTAGATCCTGTCTGTCCCTCCCCGCCAAAAAAGTGGGGATTGGGATGTAGCTCAGTAGTACAGTGCCTGTGGGTTTGATTTCCATTGCTAAATAAATCAAAGTGGGAGAATTTTATAATGTGAATTAAACCTCAATAGAAAAAGAATGAAATTTAAAATAAGCAAAAGATGTGAACATCTCACCGACAGAAATATACAAACAGCAATAATGAACATTAAGATACCCAACATCATTAATCACTGAGAAATATAAATAAAAGCCACAAAGCTTTACTACTACAAACCTAGAATGACTAAAAAGTACTTTTAAGTCACAATAGAATTGCTCAGTGAGTGTGGCGTAAATCTTGCACACAATATGCTCAAGCATAAACCTGTACATTAGTGCTACAGTGACTTTATTCATAATTTCCAAAAAATGAAGTATTCGAATACACAGCAATGAAATAATGAAGTATGAAATGTATGGATAATATTCACATGTGTTTTGTTAAAAAGCTATAGAGCATTTATAGGACACTCTGGAAAAAACAAAATGACAGAGATGGAAACAAATGAGAGGCTGCCAGGAGGTGGGGTGGAGTCTCCACAAAGGAGAGAGAAAAAATTTGGGAGCTTGATTAAATTTTTCTGAATCACTATTGTGATGGTGCATATGTACCTTAGTGTTTGACAAAACATACAGAACTGTATGCAAGAATTTTACTTTGTAAACTTTAAATAAACTTGCCTAGAAATCACAATCTACACAAACCCCACCTTGAATGTAGATGCGATGTTTCCTTATAGATCAAAGCACAGCTCAAGACTTCTGAGATATTACGGAAACAACTTTTATTTTCACTTTACAACTGAGAAGCAACATAGATTAAACAATCTGCAAGCTGTTGAGTGCTTATGTTCCTAATTTTGTAGTCTACGTTCTATCATGCTACTTGGTGACAAGAGGTTGTCTTCCAAAATCAAATTTATTCATATTATTTCATAAACCATAAGACTTTAGACGTGAAGAGGAGGCTGGAAGTGTGCCCTATTCAAGAATAAAAGTACTTTTAAAATCAACGTATTATTCACACAAACTTTGCTCTGAGACACTCATTTCAATAGGAACCTAATTTGTAATAGTTGCTTAAAATAAATAAAGGTATAATACAAAACAGATGGAAGCACTAAAAATCAGGCTCTAAAGGTGGGACATGGCGTAATGAGAAAGCAAAGCTGTAGTCCTTTACCCCTAAGCAGCGCAGGTGCGTATTTGTCTCTGTCACTGGTAGGTCTGAGATGCTGCACAGCCCATCTCCTTTTTGATTTTGTAAATTAACTAATTTATCCAGGCTTACAATACGCACTCCTCCTGGGTACGCTGTGGGTTCAAAACCTACAAGAAGCTCGGGCTCCTGTGCACGGGAGTCTCCGTCCCGGCTGTTATCAGCCGAGCCTAGGCCAGCGGCGCCCATGCAGAATAAGGCCGGAAGGCTGTGCGGGTGCCCCGGGCGGCCGGCCGCGCGCAGGCACAAGGGCCTCGGGGTTACCGCGCCTCGCCTACCCCTGCGCGGCGGCATGCGACGCTCCGAGGGCTCCCGGCGCCTCCGTCACAAACCACGAGGAACGACAGGGGCCAGCCCCAAGCCCGCAGCAGGGCGGCTCCTCGGTGTCCTGCACAGCCGACACTGGATCAGCTGCTGGGGCCGGGAGGAAACGGTCGCCGCGCCTCACCTCGAACTCCAACCCCGGGCGCCGCGCCGGGTCCGCTCCGGAGAGGGGCCCGGGGCACCCCGCACGCACGGCCCGGCTCCTGGCCCCGCGCCGCCGCCGCCGCCTTATGTAACTCGGCGCGGAAGCAGGTGGAGCGCGGGGGCGGCGGGGGCCTCGTTACCTGACCAGATGCCCAGGGACAGCTGGGAGGTGTCCAGGTTCACCACGTAGTCCCCCAAGAAGCGGTTCAGCACGTCCACGACCAGCGACTCGAACACCATTTTCCTCGGCAGCGGAGCGCCCGGCAGCCGCCACCTTCACCAGCTCCGGGCGGCTCCCCTCTGGCACCACCGCCTTCGCTACGCGCAGCCCATGCGCGAGCAGCCAGAGCCAAGACGGCCGCTGCCACCGCGCGTGCGCAGCTCGGCCCAGGGAGGGTGGGGGGGCCGCAGAGCCGGGCCTTCCGCCCCGAGAGCGAGGGCGGGCGGCTGCGCAGTTGGCGTCGCGCGCGCGACTTTGGGACCCAACCCTGAGCCTCTGCCGTCTGCCTCGCCCCCTGTCGCCTAGCAACGCAACCTACGGTGGGCGGGGCACGGATTTTTTCCGACTTTGTCTCCACCTGCAGCTCGAAGTGCTAGCCCGCTGGTAAGCGGGTGGAAGGCTCTGTGCTAACCGCCCCGCCGGCTTGTCTCTCCCGAGGAAGAGACGGTGCCGGCCCCGCGCGAGCTGGGGGGCCTGCTCTAAGTCAGAAGCGGGCAGACGCTAAGTCCTTTTTCGGTTAGGCTGTAAGTCTCTCCAGGCGGGAGCGTCTCCGCTTCGGTTCTCAGGTTGGGAGGGGTCCGGCCCCTTGCCCTTGGGACGCTTTAGCGCCCAGGTTGCAGACTCAGCAGGCTAAGTGGGCGAATCAACTCAACAATGGAATCCATGCCCTTTACCTGCCACTGCAGTAGGCACTCTTTTTGATCAAGTCATTTATGGGGCGCCCCCTTCCATTCTATACAGTGGCACACTTCGCTGCAGGTAGTCGGAAAACTGCTAAGGGGCCCCTCCCCCAGGAGTGCTGGACCCGCACACTTAACCTAAATTAAATAAAGAGATTTTTCATCCTCATCTGTTTGGGCTAATACAGAAATAGCCCCAAAAGTTTGAGGTCTCAGCGACAATAGACGTGAGATTAAAAGAATTGTGATTACTCATCTTAAGGACTTCAGAGACAGGAGAATATTTTAAGCTTTTTTCTCTCCGTGGCAAATAACTTCTGTTATTTGCTGTATCACTACTACATTTCATGCACAGTCAGCATGTTTTTCAAAATTGAATGTTTGCACTTTGCCTTAACAAGCCCAATGCCCTTAAAAAATGGTGTAAATTTTCATTTTACATGAATTTATGAATTACTGCTTTGGAACTTCATGACCATGAAGATAATAAAGCTGAGATACTAGGAATTTGACCAAAGTCACAGAACTGAGACCTGGTCCCACTAGCCTCTCTCCACCACACCACATCCTAGTCTTGCATTTGCCTAACACTAGACATCTGTCTTACGATACCTGTATAGAAAAACTAATAGAGGCCAAACTGCCCCTGAAGATAAAGCCCTACATAATGAGGGATTTTATTACCATACTAATAAGAAACCAAATTTGCATTAGCCACAGAATTCGTTACATCTACCACAAATTGAGTTATGAGAACAATTCCATTTAAATATCTTATAAACACTTAATAGTAGTTTTCTACAATCCAGAAAAATTCTGTGAAATTGAGGGGAGAGGTGCTCCATAAAGAGTTAATTCCTAAACAGCATTGAAAAGAGTTCTGCTAAGGCAAAAAAATTTTTTAAAGCCCAGGGATTTAGCTCAGTGGCACGAGCGCCTGCCTGGCAAGCACTAGGTCTTGAGTCTGATACCCAGCAATTCACATTGTAAATCTATATCCAGTGGTAGGGGGTAAGTTGCAAACATGTTTTCTAATTACTAAAACATACTATTTTACATCAAGTTATTGTGTTGCTTAATCCATCTGAGAAAGTTTGTAGGCAAAAATATTTTGTTACCATGTAAAAGTTAAAAGAAATTTTCTCTGGGCCTTGAAAAGTAAGCCCAAGGACTACAAAAAGCTCAGGTTTCAAATTTGGGAATACTGTGTGTCTTTCTCCAGATCATAATTAAAATGCTAGAGTATTCATACTTTGAGCAAATGAAGAAGAAAAGCATTTAAATGGCTTTAAATGGGAATACTATCCAACTTACAGTAAGTAACTTTTGCAAGTGTTACAGAAAAATCAATATCAAACCAAATGGAAGACTGCAGGGAGGGATCTAACAGGCAACTTTTTCATGCTAAGAGGCTGGTGGGACCAAGTCCAAATCACTAGCCAAGAGTCAGCTTTGAGTTTAGTTTAAATATAGTTCACAGCAGGAAATACAAGGCATTCCATGGTTTGAGTTAAGTCACATATTGTCAGGAAAACTAAATATATGTGTTTAAAGAGAATTTGTTTATCATAGGAACTGAGGTTGAAGAGGAGGGGTTCAAGCAAACAAGCAGAGTTAAAAAGTATCTTTGACTGGGTCATTCCCCCAGACAATGTCCTTGAAACCAGTTACAAGCAATATATTTTGGTAATTCAGGGAAACATAAACTGAGAGTAGTCAAATTGGCCCAGTGTATTATCAGAAGAAAGGCATTTGGATCCAGACAGTCAAAGCTGCCTGAATTCAGCAGGGATTTAGATGACAACAGGAACACAGATAAAAGCTCGTATTTGATTTTTAACTTGGCGTAAGGTGTCCAGAAGCTTGTTATTCTGTAACTGTGCCTCTGCTAATCATATAGTTCTGTCCTTACACAAGCACTGTAGAACTTGCTGTTTTGCACTTAGTTTACACACTTTCTGTCTGTGGAGTTTGGGGCTGTTGGTAATAACTTGGGCTGTTTTCTCCCCCTCCAAATAATTCTGTCCACAAGTATAAGTCGCTGATGTGCTGATTATCCTGATCATTTCCCCACTCAAGGTCAATACTGCAGAGCAGGCTAGACAGCGAGAGTACAAAGCCACTGAAGCAGATCACATTCCTGAAAAATATCTTAGAGAAGGATGACCATGTTACAGATCTTTTAATGACCTACCATTAAAAGGCCTTGTGTCAGTTAATGGTTTAAAGTTATAAACAATGAAAGACTGGATTTATGTTTTCCAATCTGTAAAAGAAAAGAAGAAAAACATTTGTGGCAGGGGAATACAAGCAAAGATAACAACCTATCAAAAACCCTACTCTACCAGTGCAAGTAAAAGCATAAATTTTTCCAAAAAAAAAGAAATTTGTAAATATCTACAAACTGATATGTATCAGGGTATGTACATATGTAGATATATTTGCATATGTATGACTTTTTCTAGTGATTTAATCTAAGAACATAATTATAAAAATACCAAAAGCTATTCCCTCAAGAATATTCATTAAAGTTTTATTATAATAGCAAAAAAATCAAGATAAATAGCCATTAATAGGGAATCTAGTTAAGTAAACACGCACAATGGGTTACTATGCAAGTATTAAATGGTAATAGCCTATATTAATACAGAAGATTGTCAAAACATGTAAGAAACAAGCTAAGAATAGTATCTTACCAAGTGTATACATTGTTGATGTGTTTTAAGTGTGCAAAGAATATACAAACAGAGGATGCATTAACAGAGAAGGAGTGTATCAGAGACATTATTACATTGTATGTTATAACTCTTAGGGAGAACTATCCTCAGAACATGGAGACATGGCGATCAGCCAACCAGCAACCTTTTGAAAATCTGTGTGTCAGCTAGGAGGCCCCTCTTCTAAGTGTCCAACCCTGTGTGTCTGCTCATTCAACCCTTGATACCTTGGAGCACACTTTCCACCTTTTGACCATTTCCTAAGAACTATTGATATCCCTGTTGCTATGAGGTGACAGTCTGTGCCAAGGGAGATATTTGCTGAGAACAGAAGTGGTGTCATCAAAGAGAATGTAAATTATGGGTGAGGAGGAAATCCAGGCTCAGGGCCAAGCACAGGTTGTCAGAACAGGCAGCAACTGCCAGTCGGTGAACAGGTACTGAGCGCCAGGGTCAGAAATCTGCACTGTGGAGAGCAGTCAGCAGTAAGGTGTGAGGAGGGTATGCAAAGGACACAGAAGATAGGTTACACATACCAAGTCCTCAGAGTCTGTTAAGTGTCATGTGGTACAGGCACAGTGAGTTTGACAGCACAGCCTGAGCAGAATCCACTGATAACATTGCTTTTATTTTTTTTTAATCTGTACTGGGTATCACGACCCTGCGCTTGCAAGGCAGGAACTTATGCCGCTGAGCTAAATCCCCAGCCCAACATTGCTTTTGCTTGTTTATTCAGCTTCCTCATTTATGAGTCAAGCTTGATTTAGATAGGAAGCGAGAGATCTCCCAGAAAAGAACTCTGTGGTGATTTAGGTTTTTAAATATTGGCCACATTTCCAGTCTCCTACTTCTGTTTTATTTCCTTTCTTTGTGAGCCACTGACTGAACTGAAGGCTGAGGGACTTGTGCATGTCACTGCAGTTCTAAGGCCAGCCCCATCCTTCTCTGTCTTGCTTACCTTCTGCTACAAATCTGCCACAGTAAATAAACACAGGTAAGAAGCACTGCCCCGAGTAGAGTAAGGTAGGAAAATCCCAGAGTTAAATAGAAAATAAGAGACCACTGCAGAGATCTAGGCAGGAGGTAATTATGGAAATCAACTAGGACATGACAATTTAAATGGATAGAAAGGCACAGATATATTAGATGTCACAAAGGTGAAAGTTGCCACCCTGGGTGACTGATTAACTACCATGGATAAACTAAGTAGAGTAGGGTATCATTCAGAGACGCTGGAATGTACAAACAAGCATTGATTTTATAGAAAGTGATGTGAGTTCAGTTTGGGTGGTTTCCATGAGATCTGAGTTCTGAGGGAAATATCAAGGATAAAATGTATTTTACAACTCAGTAGAAAATGTTTAGTGGCATGACAAATTAAGGAATGTGACTCCGGTGAGAATCCAGGACAAGAGCTGGATACCTGAGGGCTTCCTACACAGTACATTGTACAGATGACTCTTTGAAGTTAGGAACTGTGGAAAGCAAAGCAGAAGACTAAGGACTCCATGGTGATGAAACATTCTCATCTAGGGAGGAGCCACGTGATTGTAAGACAAGATGCCAGGAAGAGAAGCCAGAGTCAGGTGACACAGAAATCCAAGGATTTTTACGAGTAAGGATGTGGTTGATGCCATCAAAATCACAGAGACACAAAGAAAGATAAAAATGCTTAGCTGAGCATGGTAGCACATGCCTGTAATCCCTGCACTTGGAGGCTGAGGCAGGAGGAATGCCACCGAGTTCAAG